GGAAACGCCCGCTTGCGTATTGCAATTTACATATGATTCTGCCCCGTCGTCCATCCTTAATTTGAACTCGTACCATCCATGCCGAGCCGGCATCGCTTCCCTTGCCATCCTCTGCAGCAAATGCTACGCGCGCACTCGTTGATAAAAAACATCCGTTTCGAGAACCCCGTACAACACCGAAGAAAAAATGCACACTCGCAACACGGATATTCAAAAAAATGCGCGCGCTCTTTCGAATTCTTGAGAAACCAAACGTCTTTCACAGTTTTCAAAAAGTGCTATCAAACAGGTTTCGCGCACGCGTGTCGAAATCGTTCGGACGCCCAGGCGCGCGCGTCGTTGCGAAAATTTGTTTGACAAAAAAACGGCATGCACACGCGCGCGTCGTCGCGCGCGCATGCCGGAATCCGTCAAACATGTTCGGTTTCGTAGCGATGTCCAAACGGACTGAATATGTACATACATATATAGCTTGCTTGAAACAAAAAAGTCTGGTATCGCAACATCAATTTATATATAACTGTATATATATATAGTAATAATGAAAAAAAAATGCGCCCGCGCTCTTCTTGAAAATACCATCATGCTCGACATGTTCATGGAATTTTGCCAAGCGGGTTTGTGGCGCCGCGTGCCAAAATCATTCGCACGCCCTTGCGCGCGCACTGGGGAGGCACGATCCGTGTCAAATAACACCACACGACGTTGCCATGATACCGCGCCCGCCCAACTCGCCGACTCGCACTGGAATGCCCGCTGGAATGTGCCCAGCAGTCAGCGCCACCGCGGCCACGTCGGTCGCGCCAAAGTAGTTGGCCGATGCGCGCGCGTGCTTGGCGCGGCCGCAGACATGCACCAAATAACACCAAACATGCATCGAATTTGCCACCGCATGGGTTGTGCAAACCACGTTGCGGGTGCGTGGGTGGGATGTTTACAACACATGGAGTGTGTCAACCCGTTCGTTTTTTTTGTAACAAAAAAAATGTGCCTCATAGGTTGCACCACATTGATCGCGCAAATAAAATGCACCACGCAGGTTGCACTGCGCTTCATTGGTTGCAACACATAGGTTGCAGCACGTCGTACTGCTGCACATATATTGCAGCACATGGACGGCTCGACGTGCACAACACATACTGCGCCATATATAGTACCCATCGTATGTGGCACCACATGTATTGCACATGGTGGATGGCACCATCTACCGTGCAAAGCGTAAAGGGCAATGTGTAGAGTGCATGGATTGCGCCATGTACATTGCCCACAAACATATGTGTATATATGTATATATATACACATATATACACATGTATATGTATCTATATATATTGCACAAGGTAGATTACCCCACAGAGCTCACACAACATATATTTGAATCGTGTAGATACTCTTTCCGGGGGGGAGAATTGAATCTACCCCCACACACACCACAATGATTATCCGCCCGCCGTGGGGATGTGCGAATAATGTATGATGCGGCCCGGTCGTTCATTTTTGATGCAAAGTCATGCCACCTCTTACCAAGCTGTATCGACACTCCCCTAACACTTTGCGAGAAAACTATGCGCGCACACCTGCTGATCAAATTTGACGACGTGCACACACGCGCGCCGTCGCGCGCGCATGCTGGAATCCTTCAACAACAAAGATTTCAACATCGGGCGTCCCGAAGACATGCACAAACAAATGGATTTGCAACGCGATGTTCAAAAAACGCATGCGCGCGCAATTGCAAACCAACATACGTTTTTCAACATCTGATCACATGCGACCAAGCGGGCTTCTCGCGCGCGCGCCGAAACCATTCGAACGCCTTTGCGCGCGTGCTGGGGGGGGGAACGATCCCTGTCAAATAACACCACGCGGGCCACTCGCGCGCTTCGGCCGCGCGCGCATGTCCAAATCCTTCCAAACCCTTCATCACCGACGCGTGGGCACCATCATCGCCATGGGCGTGATCAGCATCGGCGCCGTCATTGGCCTCGTCGTCGTCATCGTCAACTTCGTCACCATCATCGAAACGATCATCAGCATCATCATCGTCCTCATCACCATATCGATCACCATCATCATTATCATAACCGTGTCTACCGTTGTCAACGTCGCCATGATTCCGCGCCCGCCCAAGTCACCGACTCGCACAAAAGTGAAACGCGAAACGCGTCAGCGATGTGTGCGTCAGCGCGGCCTGCGAAACGCGATGGGAAGCGCCCAGCGGTCAGCGCCACCGCGGCCGCGTCGATCGCGCCAAACTAACTGGCCGCTGCGCGCGCGGGCGGGCGCAGGCCAGCGCGGCAGGAACGATGAACTAGCCAGCACCAAGCATTCATCGCAATCGCTGCAGCATTGTTTTCGCGTACCTACTTGCGGGTGGCAACTGAAAGTTGGCACGCTGAATTCTCGTTTCTTAACGGACTCTCCTCGTACTGTAAATATATATATGGCTCTGCCCCATCGTCCATCCGAAATTTGAATCCATACCATCCCAGCCAAGCCGGTACCTGCCCCCCCGCCATCCTTTGCAGAAAATACTATGCGCGCGCATTCGTTTATCAAAAATTATCTGGTTTGAAGACCCCTTGTGAAACATGTGACGCAATGCACACGCGCGCGTTGTTGCGCGTGCGTGCCGAAATCCTTTAAAAACCTTTGGGTTCGTAAGCCCTTCAGAATCGAGCGCCCACAGCACATATTAAAAACACACAGGGTCTCGAAATGCTGATTTATATACATATATATGGTTATATATAACACATATATATATATATACATATAAATGTATATATCTTGCCCATTCTTAAGACAACCATGGTTTTTGTTTTAATGTTCGGGGGAAAACGTGAGAGGGGGAGGGAGGGGGAGGAGGGGGAATGCGGGCGAGTGGGGAGGAGTGGGGGGCCCTGAGACCAGACGTTGCGAAAAAACAAGACTGCGACCTGGCGACAGACATCACCCCTGGAGCCCCGTAGCCCACACCTCTGCTGCTGCTGCTGCTGTTGCTGCTGCTGCTGTTGCTGCTGCATGTGTCGACCCTGCTCGATCCCCACACCCCCGACGTCGTGATTTTTTCATGACGCAACCCCTTGAAGTCCAGACCCATTCTCCGGGACCGAGTTTCCATCCTGAGTCGTTTTTTCACGGCACCAGGGCCGATCTGGCGTGTGAGTTCAAGGTGGAGGGGATGACCGGGGTGGCTCTGACGGGGCAGGGGGAAGGGAGGGGGGGGGTCCAGTGGCGTGGGTTCCAATGGCGTTGGGGGGGGGGTCCGGTCCCCCGTCCCGCCTGCGGACAGGGAGAATTGGGGCCCAAGAGGGGGGCCGGGGTAGGGGGAGGGGGGGGGGTCCGGCGGCGTGGGTTCTGGTGGCGTGGGGGGAGGGGGTCTGGCCCCCCGTCCCGCCTGTGGACAAGGGACATTGTGGGGGAGGGAAAGGGGGGACTTTTGTGGCGTGTGGATGTGAAGGAGCCGCACCTACAGCCTCGAGGCTGAACTTCAGCCTCTGGGGAGGTTCCCGTGGCGCTGCTGGGGAAGGAGGGGAGGGGAGGGGCGCGCGCGCGGGGTAATGGTTTGTCCGTGTACAGTGTACGCGAGAAGAGAATCCAGGAAAGAGAGAGAGAGAGAAGTGGAACGGGACAAGAGCGGATAACGGGGAACAAAGGGAGGGGGAAGAGGAGGGTGGCGGTGACGTGCGCGTCTGTTGTGTTGTGTGGTGTGTGTGCGTGTGTTTGTGCGGTGTGCGTGGTGTGCGTGTGTGTGCGTTGCCGGCGTGCGCGTGTGCACGTGCCTGCGAAGGTGGCGCGCGTGTGTGTGTGGTGTGTGTGTGTGTCTATGGGTGTGTGTGGTGTATGTGTGGGTGCGTTTGTGTGTGTGCGCGCTTGTGTGTGTGCGCGTCTGTGCGTGCGTGCGTGCGTGTGTGTGTGTGTGCGTGAATGTGTGTGAATGTGTGTGGATATGTGTAAATGTGTGTATGCGTGTGTGTGTGTCTGTGTGCGCGTGTGCGCGTAATGTCTGCGAGCGTGTGCGTGCGTATCTGTCGGCGAAATATCGCCGCCCAGTCTGGGGGTACCCCGAGCGACCCGGATCGGCGGCACTGGCCGAAGGCCACTACAATATACACGTCTGGGCGACAATGAGGAAGTATGAGCTTGTGAACCAGCTCGTTCTCAAAAAAGACTCTCGCTTTAGACCCTTGGAACTGTATGACCACACCTCTTCGCAAATTTCTTGTAGTTCGAAAGAAGCAAGGCAATTCAATGTCAAAACGGTGACCCCCAATTGAGGTGGCTCCCCGTGGTGAGAGTAAATGCTGATAAGGTCTCTGAGGGGTGGACTTGGGAGGGGAGGGTGGGTTCCAGCGGCATCGATGGTTTCTAGGTTCTTACTGGTCCTCCTCCGCATCCTCCTCCTCCTCCTCCTCCTCCTCATCCTCTTCCGTCTCCGACTTCTCTGATTCTGACTCCGACTCGAGGATCGAGGTTCGGGGACTGAGAATTGAGGCTTCTTGGCGTCCGCGGCACGTGTCGGGCCTCCTGAGGCCTCCAGAGACCTCTGAGCACCTCCGCGAAACTCCCGGAGACCTCCGGAGACACCTCCGGAGCCCCCATCCGTCCTCCTGCATCCCGCCGTCCTCGCTGCCTAATCGACCCTCCGACGAAGTCTCTTCCTCCACGCCGACCCGCACATACATGAAAAGCCCTGGAGGCGTTGCGCGACAACCTGAGACCAAATTTGCGTCGGATCCACGTCGGATTCACGTTGGGTTCACGTCGGACTGCGCCGGACTCGCGTGGGGTTCGCGTCGGCTCCACGTCGGGCTTACGTCGGGCCTGCGCCGCGCGAGCGTCGTTCGATACATCTGACGGGCCGGACGCGCGGCCTGCCCTGTGCAACTGCGTCGCGCCGCGCGAGGCGCTTCCAGGATGGCTCTCGCAGTCCCCCCCTCGCCGGCCCTTCTCCCCGCCCTCTCCCGTCCCTGCTCCCGGCGGGCTGGGGCGGGAGCATCCGCGCCGAGGAGCTGTTTGCGTTCGCCTTGCTCTTCTGGGCCATGCTGGCCAGCTGGCTGGACTTCATCTTCAGCTGCTGGCGGCCGACGGGAGCGCCGCGGGCAGGGGCGGCGCGACAGGGGGGGGGGGTCTGGACGAAGAAGGGGGGGAGGGGCATAGGAGCGTGAGAGGGATCGAGGGGCGAGGGAGGACGAGGGGTGAGAGGGAGTGTTTCGGTGGAGCTGCGTCAGGTATGGCCCTGCCAGAGACCTGTCGGGCCTACTACGTGTGCCTCGCGAGCTTAGGTTCTGGAAAGCCCCAGCCCATGACAAAGTCGCAGCTGCACGCATGCATGCATCCGCCCATGGACTGAAGACAAAATAAATCCGCCGACCCTGTCGGCATTCGCTCAGTCGACGCATCCGTTGTCCTCTTTCCCTGCGTCTCCGTCGTCCCCTTTCCCTGGGAAGCCCCTTCCCTTTGATCCCTCCACCGCCGAAGGCGGGGGGTGGTCCCGGGGGGGTCCCAGGGGGGGGGTACACCTGGGGGGGGGGGGTCAGATACGCATCCGCCCCTGGGCGTCGCGGAGCCCCAAAAAGCGCCAAGACGCGCCAAGAGTGCCCTAAGAGGTCCCCAAGAAGGTCCAAGAGTGCCCCGAATCGCCGAACGATCTGTCCCAGACGCCTTCATGGCTTCCAGACTGATCGAGAGGCGTGCAAGACGCCCCCAGAAGCATCCAGGATCACTCCCAAGACGGCCCCCATGAGGCAGATAGTTTTTCTCTGTTTTTGGCGTTCTCGCCTTTTTGGGCCTAAGAGGCCCCCAAGACCGCCCAAGAATGCCCAAGCAGGCCCAAGAGGACCACGAATTGACATTTCGAGCTTCCCGCCCCAAGAAGTCCCCGGAAGCCCCAAGAGCCCCCAAAAGGGCCCGAAGAGGCCCAAGAGACCCCCAAGAGGCCCAACAAAGGCCCCAACAGGCCCGAAAACATCCAAGAGGCCTTTCAACCACAAACCCAGCACGGTGGCGGGAAGGGCCGCAGGCCACAAGGCTCCCTGTCTGTCTCTGCTACGACTCCCTCGGCCCATCTGGGGAAAATTTCCTTCGCCCTCTCGTGCGCCCTTCCACCTTAATCCCCCTCCTCCTCCTCCTCCTCCTCCTCCTCCTCCTCCTCCTCCTCCTCGTATTCGTCGTCGTCGTCGTCTTCAGGGTCGGCGGCACTGGCCGTAAGGCCTTAGCAATGAGTAGCGCGTCGAGCAGAGAAGAGACGTATCATCGAGAAGGGTACACTCATGCAAATGCAATGCGAAGCAATGCGATGAGAATGCATTGCAATGGACATGCATGGCATTGCAGAGAAGGGGTCTGACAGTCTGGCAGGGCAACGCAATGGCAGCGCAATGCAAATCATTGTCATGGAAAGCATTGGCATTTGCAGTGAACTCCATGCAAGGCAAACAAACCCAAGGCTTTGAAGGAAAACACACTGTACATAAAATGCAAGGCAGCGCATGCCAGTGCAACACATAGCCAAGCAGAGAAAGGCAAAGCAAATGCAATGCCTCGCACGACACACTACAAATGAAAGCGATGCAATTCAATAGAATGCAGCGGGCACAGCGATCCCAATGCACCCAAGAATCTCGAAGAACGCAGGGACGGACACCTCGGGGACAGGACCTGTGGAACCTGGGCGGGGAGTCGCAAGCTCCCCCGAGTCTCTTGCACGGAAGAAGAGAGGGGAGGTAGGGGGGAACGAGGACAGAGGAGGGAGGAGGACGAGGGAGAGGAGCGAGGACGCGGGTGGGCGGAGGAGAAGCGTCGGGCAGGGGGAGGTCCGAGGGAGGAGGAAGCAGAGGGGGGACGGCGAAAGGGGGGCCGAGGATCGAGGACCCAATTGTCTCCGTGCCTCTCGCCTCTTTCGGGCATCCGGGGGCGCCCCCGGCGCCACGGAGGGGTCCGCCCTGCAAGTCTGGCCAAAACGCGCCTCTGGGCAGGCCCAGGGGGGGGAGGAGGAGGAGGAGGAGGAGGAGGAGGAGGAGGAGGAGGAGGAGGAGGAGGAGGAGGAGGAGGAGGAGGAGGAGGAGGAGGAGGAGCTGTTCTTGAGGGAGGAGGGGGGGGGAAGAGCGAACATCCTACTCTCGGCGAGGTTGAGGCCCTCGTGGGCCCCAGCGCTCAATCTTTCCGGTCCTTCCTGTAAGACGGGAGCTTGCCAGGCCGAAGTCGTCACAACCGATCACTTATCCCGCCCGTGGTGGAGTTCAGCCGGCACTGGCCCGTGAGGGCGCCGGGGGGGGGCGAGGGGCAGGAGAGGGGGGGCAGGAGAGCCCAAAATCGAATCGACAAGTCGGATCGGCGATCGAAATAAGTCGGATCGGCGATCGAAGTTAGTCGGATCGGCGGAAATCGGCAGCCGAGTCGGGAAAAGTCGTATCGGCGGAAATCGGCAGCCTAGTGGGCCTCGATAAAGGAATCGGAACCAGAAATCGAATCGGAATCGGAAATAATCGAACTCGAATCAAGTCGATCCGGAGGAATCGAAACGAGCCCTGGTGGGGGGGAGCAGGCGAGTGCGCAGGGCTCCTCCTGGACCTCGTTCTCCTGCTTGGTGTCGTCGACGACCTCCTTCCACTCCTGCGGGGCCCGGGGGCCGGAGCAGGGGATCCCCGCCAGCCCAGCGGGGCAGCAGGCGGGCCCTCGTGTCCTCCTCCTCCTCCTCGTCCTCTTCCTCCTCCTCCTCCTCCTCCTCCTCATCCTCCTCCTCCTCCTCCTCCTCCTCCTCCTCCTCCTCCTCCTCCTCCTCATCATCATCATCATCATCATCATCATCATCATCATCATCACAGCCGTCGGTTCTCGGGCGCAGTCACTCCGCAGCAGAGTCTCAGCATCAGCAGCAGCAGAACCCTCATCTGAGTCCATAGCCATCACCAGACTCGGATCAGCAGCAAGACGAACAGCGCGTACACACATGTATACATATGTATGTCTGTTTCCCGAACAGTGTTTGCCCTCAGTGGTTCTTGCTTCTGGAGTAAGGAGCTGGAGTGGTTGTCAGTCCGTCGGCTGTGTTGTCGCTGTCGCCGCCCCGTCGCCATATCGTCGCCGCCCGTCGTCTGGGCCCGGGTGTCGTTCTGGCGGCTATGTTATCGCCGTCGCCGCCCCGTCGCCGCCCCGTCGCCGCCTCGTCGCCGCCCGTCGTCTAAGCCTGGTTGTCGGCCTGGCGGCTATGTTGTCGCCGTCGCCTCCCCGTCGCCGTTTCGTCGCCGCCCGTCGTCGGGGGGGCTTGTCGGTCTGGCGGCTATGTCGTCGCCGTCGTCGCCCCGTCGCCGTCTCGTCGCCGCCCCATAGATTGAACAACATCGATTGCACCACAGAGATTGCACCACCGATTGCACAACATAGATTGCACCAGATCGATTTTCTCAGTTCTACACGATCGACCCACGGAAGCGGAAAGGGATCGAGAACTGCGAGGCATGGGAACATTTCAAAGGACCTTGATTGGGCGATGGACGGTGGCAATGCTGAAGATATTGGTTGTGATGACACTGTGCCAAGGGCTGTGTTGTGCTGCGCTGCGCTGTGCCGTGCCGCACAGTGACGTGTCACGGGACGCGCCAAGGGACATGCCACGGAAAGCGCGCCAAGGGACATGCCAGGGGGACGCGTCGCGTAACGTCCCAAAGGACGCGCCAGGGGACGTGCCAATTGACGTGCCAATTGACGTGCCACAGAACGTGCCAAGGAACGCGCCGCGCGACGTGCAAGGGGGATGCGCCACGGAACTTGCCAGGCGACGCGCCAGGGGTCGTGCCAGGGGACGCGTCAGGGAACGTGCCTCGGGACGCGGCACGAGACGCGCCAGAGACGTGCTATGGGACGCGCCGCGGATCACCTGAAGCCTCCTAGGATCTCCGCGCCCCAGTATTTGTCGAGATATCAAGGGCCACGCGATCCTTTACAAATTACGCAGCGTCCGCGCTCCCTGGGCTACGATTCATTGCGAATTCCGCTGGGCCCGCACTCCCAGTGCCACGATCACTAGTAAATGATGCTGCGTCAGCTCCCCCAGGGCCACGGTCACCTCGTAAATTACGCAGCGTCCGCGCTCCCAGCGCCACGACTCCTCGCAATGTATGCTGGATTCGCGCTCGCAGTGCCAAAATGCTTTGTAAATAACGCTCGATCCCTAGTCAATTACGCAGGTATGCCGAAGATACGTTGAAGATACATCGGACACACTCGTTGAAGCTACTCCGAAGGTACGCGGCGTCTGTATTGCTTTTGTTAAGAAACGTTATTGAGGGTGCGCCGAGTGTACGATGAAGGTACGCGTGTCCAAATCAGCGAAGGTACGCTGAAGGCACGTCGAAGGTAGACAGAAGCAGGGGGGGGAGGACAGACCCCCCACTCCCCCCGCTCCTCCAAACCATCGCTCCCCCAAACCCCGCGGACGACTACGCTGGATTCGCGCTCCCAGTGCCAAAATGCACCTCACACTACTCTCGGTCCCAGATAAAGTATGCAGGTAGACCGAAGGTATGCCGAAGGTACTCTGAAGATACGCCGGACACACTCTTTGAAGGTTCGCCGAAGGTACGCTGAAGGTATGCGGCCTCTTGTTCAATAAGAAACTTGATTGAAGGTACGCCGAAGGTCCGATGAAGGTGCGCGCGTCAAAATCAGCGAAGGTAACCTGAATGCACGCAGAAGGTAGACAGGAGCGTGGGGGGGATAGGACAGACCCCCCACTCCCCACGCTTCCCCAGACTATCGCTCCCCCAAACTCCGCGGATCCAGAAAGGAGCAACACGCGACGGATCCAGAAACGAACAAACTACGGCGGGACCGCGCTCCTAAGGCCACGATCGCTCGTAAATCGCGTTGCGTCCGCGCTCCCAGGGCAGTGATCCCTCGTGAATTGCGCTGCCTCCGCGCTCCCAGGGCCACGATCCCATACATTACGCTGGGTTCACGCTCCCAGGGCAAAGATCCCTCGTAAATTACCGTGGGTTCGCGCTCCCACGCCACGATCCATCATACATTACACGGGGTTCGCGCTCCAAGGGCCACGGCCCCGCGAAAATTGCGCTGCGTCCGCGCCACCAAGGCAACGATCCCTTGTGAACTGCGCTGCCTCTGCGATCCCAGGACCAGGATCCGTTATACCGTACAGGGCAGTGTTTTTTAACACATAGGATTTGTTAAAAAATGAGTTTTAATACATGACTAATGTATGAAGAAATCTATGCATGAACTCATCGTTGCTTTGAATACTGAATCCCTGCATTTTCAGTACATGATTCGCACGCGGAGCATGTATTCAAAACAGCACCGTACGCCCTGCGAAATGCTTAAGAAATCATGGGTTCAGAAAATCATAATTAGTCTCAGAACTTGAGTAAAACCCAGAACTTCTATCAAGATCTTGGGACTTGCATGGAAAAGTTAATAATAAATCGAGACTATCGCCGAAAACTTCAGTTTTCTTAAGCATCGCCTAGGGTGTACCCATCGGTCGGAAGAAGTAGATAGAAGCATGAAGTAGGAAGGCGTTGGAAATAGATTGGGTTTCCGCACGCCTCCTGAAGAGGAAGGAAGAGGGAAAACCACTCGACTCCTGAAGTAGGAAGGCGCTGCAAGTATATTGGAATCTGGGAATCCAAAAATACCTACTTTCAACGACCGATGCGTACGCTGGGTTCTGCGGAAACGCCCCGCAAGTCAACGGACCTCGGCAATCATCGCGGACCCGAGATGGGGCGTCCACGTTCCTCGAGGGGGCACGCGGCACCCAAGGACAAGGTCAAAAAAACTACCAGAGAGCCCTGGGAAGGGGCATCGTCCGGGAAAAAGGGACTTGGCGGCGCGCAGAGGGGGGTGGGGGGAGGGGGGAAGGCTTCTTACAAGCACCCCTGCTTCTTAGAAGGTGCGGGCCTTCTCTGTTGATGTAAGGTTCGCGCTCCCAGGGCGGCGCACCCTCGCACGGTGCTGTGCGCGCGCACGCTCCCGAGGCCACGGCCCCCCTGCGCTCCGAAGGCAAGGACCCCTCGCAGACGACGCTGGGACCGCGCCCCTCCTCCTCCTCCTCCTCCTCCTCCTCCTCCTTCTCCCCTCTCCTCTCCTCCTCCGCCTCCTCCTCCTCCTCTCCTCCTCCTCCTCACTCCTCCTCCTCCTCCTCCTCCTGTCGTCCTCGTCGTCCTCTCGTCCTCCGTCCGTCCTCCTCCTCCTCCTCCCTCCTCCTCCTCCTCCTCCTCCTCCTCCTCCTCCTCCTCCTCCTCCTCCTCCTCCTCCTCCTCCTCCTCCTCCTCCTCCCCTCCTCCTCCCTCCTCCTCCTCCTCCTCCTCCTCCTCTCTCCTCCTCCTCCTCCTCCTCCTCCTCCTCCTCCTCCTTCCTCCTCCTCCCCTCCTCCTCCTCCTCCTCCTCCTCCTCCTCCTCCTCCTCCTCCTCCTCCTCCTCCTCCTCCTCCTCCCCCCCTCCTCCCTCCTCCTCCTCCTCCTCTCCCCCCCCTCCTCCTCCTCCTCCTCCTCCTCCTCCTCCTCCTCCTCCTTCCTCCTCCTCCTACCTGCTGCTGCTGCTGCTGCTGCTGGGCTGCTGCTGCTGTCTGCTGCTTCCTCCTCCTCCTCCTCCCCTCCTCCTCCTCCTCCTCCTCCTCCTCCCCTCCTCCTCCTCCTCCTCCTCCTCCTCCTCCTCCTCCTCCTCCTCCTCCTCCTCCTCCTCCTCCTCCTCCTCCTCCTCTCCTCCTCCTCCTCCTCCTCCTCCTCCTCCTCCTCCTCCTCCTCCTCCTCCTCCTCTCCCCTCCTCCTCCTCCTCCTCCCCTCCTCCTCCTCTCCTCCCCTCCTCCTCCTCCTCCTCCTCCTCCTCCTCCTCGTCCTCCTCCTCCTCCTCCTCCTCCTCCTCCTCCTCCTCCTCCTCCTCCTCATCCTACTCCTCCTCCTCCTCCTCCTCCATCCTTCTCCTCACTCCTCCTCCTCCTCCTCCTCCTCCTCTTCCCTTCCCTCCTCCTCCTCCTCCTCCTCCTCCTCCTCCTCCTCCTCCTCCTCCTCCTCCTCCTCTCAAGCCACCTAGGCCCAAGCATTTTGTTTGTGCCGACTCTTGTGCTTGCTCGGAGCGCTTGAGGCACACAGAGCAGAGCCCGTTGCGGAGGCCAGTCATCTGTGACAAAAGCAAGAGTGTCAGTCCACGCTCTTTCCCTGCCATGGCTTTCTTTGAGCGTAATGCGCGGCTGTGGAGCCGCTGCCAGTGCGGGAAGTGTGAATGGAATGATGTGATCACCCGTGGGCAGGGCATATGCACCAAGTGTAAGCGCGAGGTGCCCCTGTTCACCCCCAAGAAGAAGAAGGGGGGCCTCCGTTCCAGATCGCAATCGCCAGGGAAGGTTTCGTTTGCCGACGAGGCGGAGGTGTGGGACTTCGAGGAGCAGGAGCCCGACCAATGCAGCTCTCAGAAGGGCCCGTGGTCCAAGGCCAGCTCCGCGATCGACCACCTGATGGAGGCCATGAAGAGCACCAATGACCAGGAGCTCAAGATGGTGTCGAGGAATCGGATTGAGTTGCTGAAGAAGGCCCCTGCGGTATCAGAGCCGCCCCCCTCTGCCGCCGACAGCTACAAGAGGGCGGAGGGCCACT